GGAGAGACATGGAGAATAGGGGACACATGTTGATGTAGAAGATCTTTCCACAGAGGGGACACATGCTGATGTAGAAGAGACATGAAGAAGTGGATTTTGCATAATAGGTCCCCTTTAAAATGTAAATGTGTTTTGTGCAGTGGTTTCAGCACAGAGGTGGTGTTCTACACCATGGGCACCCTGCCTGCTCTGCCTCTGGCACCGCGGCTGGTCAGGGCGGGGGTGTCCTGGGTGACCCTGGAGTGGGGGCGTCCTGAGGGCAGTCCGAGCGAGGAGCAACTCAAATACACACTCGAGATCCAGGAGGACAACAGCGTGAGTACCGTGCACATGTAAACATATACCATAAGAAAACATTTATAAAGTTTATCTTGCTGGCACAGGTTTATTTTTCTTTATATTAAAACCAGGCCTCATAGATACGTTCCAGGACCTACAGAATCCACCATCGCAAACTTGGTTTTGTGAAATGTGTTTTCGTGGTGTTTCATTCAGCTCTGTGCTGTCAGTTACGAAAAGAGCAATAAGAGAATAAAAAAACTTCCCCCAGGAAACTATATGCCTAAAAAACTGATACTATTTTAAGGAAATAGGAATAATTGCTTGCATTGCAAAATAGTTTGGAGAGATGGACAGCACAGCAGGTGCAAAGCGCAGTAATTTATTTCATACACAAGCTTGGACAAACCATATGCATTGACTGTTGTATGTAAATAAGAAAGGAATTGCATAAAAGGCACTCCTTACTCCCCCTTACACGCACATTTGTACAAAGTAAAAGTCAGCATTTACTGCATACATCTGTTTATAAATGTACATTTTAATCAATAACTGACTAATACCTCACACACACACACACACACACTGACAGATTGTTTGTGTCCTTATTTCCCACAGGGAACAGACTTTCATCCTAAGTACACTGGAGAAAACTTGACCTGTACTGTACAAGGACTGAAGAGGAGTACACAGTATAAATTCAGGGTGAGTCACAACTTTCACATTTATTTATTTTAAAGATTATTATTTTGTTGGCATTTTCGCCTTCACTGGACAGATTACAGTGTAGAGGAAAGAGTGGAAATGGGAGAGAAGGG